CACCAGGAACTGGGACTTGAGCAAGCTGGGTTAGAGCTAGAGCAGGGACAGAGCGAGAACCACATGGGGTGGGGGTAGGAGAGGGGTACCGAGTACGGCAATTTCCTCTTACCCAGGCCTTCGCATACGCTGTTCCTTCTGCCTAGAACACTTTCCCCCACCTCCCTTTGGCTCGGCAGCTCTCCATCATTCAGGTCGCAGTTGAGCTCACACCTTCCAGGAACTCTTACTCCCTCTCCCCGCCCAGGCTGTCTCAACTATGTGCTGGGACATCTGGTCTGGGCCGTCACATGTTGCACGGAGTGGTGATTGCCCACGGATGTGATGGTTCCTCCCAGCTGGCGGAGAGCTCTGTGGAGGCAAGCAGTCTCACGGATCTTAGCATCCCAGCACCTAGCCCCATGCCTGGCACATGCTCGATTTGCACTTCATAAACGTTGGCTGAATGGATAGGTGGCGAGAGATGAGCAGGTGATGGATGGATAAACGGAAGCATGAGCAATATAGGCGGATGAGTTCTAGGTTAGTCTCAAGGAGGAGGCTGGTTTCCATGACTACTTTTGGTTGTCTCCCTTCTGTGAGGAACTTCACCAGTCCTGTTGGAGAGGGGTAGGACTCCTCCCCTGGATCCTAATCCTCCAAGCACCATGTAGTCCTGACCACTGGGCAACACCCTCCTCCCCCCTCAACTCCTGAGTATGACTTGCAATCTCAGCTCAGGCTATGTGACTCATGGTTAGTCACCTACCATTTCTGGACCTCAGTTGTCCCATTTATAAAATCAGGGGCCCAGTAGAGACATCTCTTCAAATCTAAAAGGCCCAATTGTGGTGTAATATTTAAAAATGCTTCACCCTGGCCAGTTTTCTCAGTGGTTAGAGCGTCGGCCTGCGGTCCAGAGAGACCCGGGTTCGGTTCCCGCTAAGGGCATGTACCTCGGCTGCAGTTTGTCCCCGGCCCTGGTTGGGTTGTGCAGGTGGCAGCCACTTGATGTGTCCCTTTCACATCGACGTTTCTCTCTCTCTCTCTTCCTCTCCCTCCCTCCCACTCTATCTGAACAAAAAATGGAAAAATGTCCTCAGATGAAGATTAAAAAATAAAATAAAATAAAAATGCTTCATAGGAACCAGAAGAGTACATTTTATATTTCACACACACAAAATCAAATGATGCCTAACCATGCAAATGAAAAAGGTTAATCACGTTTGCTGTGCTTTACTTTAAAAATAGTGCATATTTTCAAATGTGCCCTTGAAGAAAATTTACACTCCATCATCGTGGGATATTGGATGGCCAGCCCATAACACTTAGCATTCTCGCTAAAGACCCTTCTACTCCAGCACCCACAGCTCTGCATGTCCATCCCTTCCCATAGACCCTCCAAATGAGGACAGTCACTGCCTGTGCTGGAGATGGGGTAAGGGAGGGCAACTTGGATGAATGGGCAGTGACAGGCCAGCAGAGACGGCCTGGTCAGCTGTTGCTAGAATGACCTGGACACTTACATATAACCCAAAGTGAACTAAAACCATGGAAGCTGCCTTCTGACGTATGCCCTCTCCATTGCTCACTCAGATCCTGCTTGGAGCCAAGGCAGCACGGGAGCACGAACTTCTGCCATTTCCCTTCACGGGCTTCAGTTACGAGCATCTGGGTGCCCTGCTCAGTGGAGATCTAGAAAGATAACCTCAAGCGAATGGGAGCTCATTGTTCACTAGGACCACCCAGAGCCCGTGGAGTCCTGGGCGCTGCCCTCCGGAGAAACTAGTCTGGCTGGACAGACAGACAAGCAAGCAGATGTGGTGCAAATGCTGATTGTATGAGCTTGGGTTTTTGCATGAAAGAGGTTAGAGGGCTAGACAGCCCTGGCCTGTTTGGCTCAGCGGTTAGAGCATCGGCCTGAGGTCCAGAGACCAGGGTTCGGTTCCCGCTAAGGGCACGTACCTCGGTTGCAGTTTGTCTCTCGCCCTGGTTGGATTGTGCAGGAGGCAGCCATTTGATGTGTCATTTTCACACTGATGTCTCTCTCTCTCCCTCACTCTATCTGAACAAAAAATAGAAAAATGTCCTCAGGTGGGGATAAAAAAAAGACTAAACAAATGGTATCGGGCCTTCTGCAGTCTGGGATTGGGGAACCTGGGAGGATTAAGGTTTGCACTGGATTGCCTACCATGAGTGGGCCCCTCCCCAGATCCTTCAGGTGTGGAAGAATCACGGATCGTTAAAACGTAGATTTGCTTCTGCAGGCCTGAGCGCTTCTGGATCTCTAACAAGCTGAATGGGAAGCACCAGAGCGGGCGGTGGGTGGACCAGGCAGCCAGCAAGAATCAAGGTGGAGGCCCGGTGAGCTCCCACGCAATGGCGGCGAGAACAGGGGGCGTCCAGGCACTAGCATCTGAAGCTGAAGGACACCCCAACACCACATGCACAAGTCAAATAAATGGCTATATTGTCCCTCCCCACTGGACTGTGCGCTTCTCTGGTGAAGACTGAATCTTGCGGCCATCTCCCCATCCTGGCCCGTGCCCAGGAAATCTTGGTCGAAGGGCACGTCCGAGAACACGATCTCTTCTCCGTCGGGAATAGCCCGGCCTTCATCTCGGCAGGGCACGCACTCGCTGGTAGTGGTTTTCCTTCCCCGCACTGGGGCCGCCAACCTCCGACGCCAACCCTATCTTGGCACCAGTGGGCAACCGCCAGGCAAGTTCTGGGCACACAATCTTCTGGCGAGAGCCTGCCCTCTGGACCTCTGCTGCCGTGTGTGGACCTGGACAAGTAAGAAGTGCGGCCCAAAGAGGTGCCGTTTTCCCAAAATGTCAGCCGACAGGGCTGAATGCTGAATTGCAGCCCAGCTTCTCCAAAAGCCCGAGGGACACCCCTTCTCCAGCTGGACGGCTGTGTGCAGTCCATCTGTCCTTTCTAGGCTCGGAACTAAGATTTAGAATTGTCACCCCAGCTGGTCTGGCTCAACGGTTAGAGCGTCAGCCCTCAGGCTGAAGGGTCTCGGGTTTGATTCCAGTCATGGGCATGTATCTGGGTTGCAGGTTCGAACCCTGGCCCCGGTTGGGGTCATGTGGGAAGCAACCAATCAATGTGTCTCACATGGATGTTTCGCTCTTCCTCTCCCCCCCCCCTCCACTCTCAAAAAAAAAAAAAATAGAAAAATATACTTGGGTAAGGATTAACAAAATAATTGTCACTTTTTGTGAATAATTGACATTTTTCATTCTTGTATGAAATGACAGCAGGCAACTGTTTGTGCTGGTTCACGATGGACAGAGTAAGCAGTCGGACGCCTTCAGTGCAGTCCTGGGAGACTTCTCTGATGGGGGCAGGAGGCTGGGAATCACCCACCTTCCCTGCGCCTCCCCGGGACACTGACCTGCCCTGTGTCCTGCACCTTCTGCAAATCGCCAAGCATTCAAAACACATCTTGGTGACCCGGGGTTGAAGCCCCATCCCCCCACCCCCACAACATCCAAATGTGTTAAGCTTTAAAAATAACGATCCAGGTTTTCAGGGTCCAGATGCTCACGGGCACTTTGCGAGTTCACAGCAGTTCATTTTCCAGTGTTGGATTGACAGCTGGGTTGGACCTGGTGTGACCTCTGCAGCCTTGCCCTCAGGGGACTGTCCTCCCACCCCGACTCCCAGGCGGCTCGGGGGTGTGGTGAAAACACTCCCCTTCACCATCCTGCACAATCAGACTGGGTGGGGGCAGCGAGAGAGCTTTCAAATAAGGGCCCACGTGGACGACCACAAAGGCCACCACCCAGGATCCACAACTCGAGGGTGACCGAGGCCTAGGCTCTCTTCTGATGCACTTTGTGTGTGAGGAAGGTGTGTGGGGGGAGGGGGGGAGCAATTAAAACGCAACAATCAAGCCAACCTTTAAATAGTAACTTTTAAAAATATAAAAACAGCTCATTACAATGACTTTTCATTTTCTTTTTTCTTTAGGAATCAACTTCTTCCCTCACCCTCCCTCGGGGCTAGAGCCTTAACAACAGCGGCAGATGAACATCTGAGACAGACAGAGAGAGGGACAGACAGAGCCTGCCTCTGGCCAGCCTCCCGCCTCAGCAAGGGACAGGGCGCCGGCCAGCGCGCGGCCTCCCCGCGGTGGGGGCCGCTGGTCCAGGAGATCACAGGACACGGCGGTTCACGGGAGCACGCCTTCCTTCTCACCAGACAGAGTCACACGTTATAAAATAAGTCGTAAAAATGCAGTATAAAAATTATCTTCCATATGCTACATCCACGGGGAGCCCACCACCGGGGCTCGAACAGCCTTTAGCTTTTTCTTAAAAGAAGAAGAAAAAAAGACCCAAAAGGAAAAAAAAAAACCCTAACTCCGCAAACCAATTTGCTACCAAGTAGTGGTACCTGCAGGAGACAATATTCTACCTGTAACCTGTTTGGGCTCGAGAGACTGAAAGCTGCAAGAAGTCCCCAGGGTGCCAGGACAGCGGTGCCCACCCAGCTCCTGGGGTCCTCAGGTCCTGCGGCCCTGCCAGGGCTGGGGGAGGGGGCGACATAACCCTCCCAGACTCAATCCTGCAGGTGAAATACACGTTCCCTTGGGGGCAGGGGAAAGAGAGATCACAGGCAGGAAAGGGGAGAAGGCATTTTATAAAAGAACATCACTTCTAATTCTTTATTCAAATTAAAAAAAAAAAAAAGCACCCACATCAGTTGCTATTTTTCTCTGGTAGCTCCCTGAGCTGAGTTGCTATGCTTTCCTCTAACTTTCTGTCCTTTGTAGGTTTAGCTCGCAGATTAAGAAGGGCCTGAGAGGGGGTTCCTCTGAACTCCATTTCTCAACACGACCGAGTGTGCGCCAAGGAGAGACGGGGCAAGGCGGGGAGGGTGGGCGAGGAGTCCTGGGAGCGACGGGGCGGGCGGCTAGAGAGGCCCGACCGCGCTGCCCTCCGCCAGGCTGGCCCCGGCCCACGCGCTGTCAGTCTGCGTGGGGTCATCCCGACCCGCGCGGCACCACGCCCACGTCCTTCCAAGGGCAGCTGCCAGTCGGTCTGGTTCCCAGCGGCAGCCCCCTGCCTCCAGGATCTCTCTCCCCATCCCGCCCCCTCGGACGCCCCTACCCAGGCGGGAACCTCTGTTTAAAAAAAAAACAAAAAACAGAAAAACAACAACAAAAATCAAAACAATACCACCATGAGTGGATTACGAATACAGCAGGCGAAATACACGGCTAGCGTTTCTGGTGAGAAGGAGCCTCCTCCCCCACTGACCAGTCCCATCGCAGTCTGTTATTTACATTTTTCACAAACCTTGTGCGCTGCACAAGCAGGAAAGTAAGATCCCCTCCCTGGCACAGATATGTGGTCCACTCCAGTGTCCCCGACCCAGGGCAGGGGACAGGTCAAAAGAAAGGGGAAGGAAAGACAGATTCTGTGGGGAGCCGGAGCCATGAGCCTCCAAATAAATCTTTTAGTAGCATCTGCCAGGACGGTGAGGGGAAGAGGAGGGAAATCCATCGGAGGCTGAGACATCAGTGCGGGCCGGGCTGGGATGTGCCGGCGCACTCCCGGCCGACCACACACAGCTCGGGACCCTGGCTGCCCCCGGCCTCACCGTCCGGGGCCCGCGCAGGATCTCCCTGTCACAGTTGAGTCTGTTTCTCCCAGAGTTTGACAGCCCTGTTAGAGTCCTTGTTTAGTAGATGACCTCATAAACCGTGGCCTTCTTGTCACCAGAGCCTGTTACAATATATTTGTCATCCGCCGAAATGTCACAACTCAAGACAGACGAGGATTCCTTAGACTGCAGGAAGAGAGGCAGGGCGGTGTGGGGAGAAGACAGGAGTCACTTTCACCCCATTGCTCTCCACGGCTCTGAAGCCCCTTGCCCTCCCCCCGCCCGGAGCTACGCCGCCCCCAGGAGGCCCTTCCAGTGAGGGACGCCCCTCCACGGGCCCTTCCCCCGGGAGCCCACCGCAGGGCCCGCAGTGGTCTTGGGTGTCGGGCCCCAGGCCTCGCAAAGTCAAAAAAAAGCCTCCTCCCACCTGGCCTGTGTGGCTCAGTGGTTGAGCACTGACCCGTGCACCAAGAGGTCACCGGTTTGATGCCCGGTCAGGGCACATGCCCAGGTTGTGGGCCTGATCCCCAGTGGGGGGCATGCAGGAGGCGGGCAATCAACGTTCTCTCTCATCGATGTTTCTATCTCTCGCTCCCTCTCTCTAAAATTAATAAAAGAAAAAATTTCTTTTTAATAAAATAAAAAGCCTCCTTTCTCCCTCACCTCTTTCCGGACCCCTTCCCCCTGCCCCACCTCTCCTGACACTGGAATGTTGAGATGAAACACGAACTACTCGACGTCAGGTACACTGCTCTGAAGAAAGCTGCCTGTCGGCCCCAGGGCCCGCACCTCCCGAGTGCTCGGCACACAGGCCGGGGCCAGGGGCAGGTCTCCTCTGCTCTGGGCTCTAGAAACCCTGCCTAGAAGCCCTCCCCCTGGGGGTCCGCTGCCATTAGCAGCAGAGTGTGTCCTGCTGATGTGCCCAAGTTCTTGCTTCTGGAGACCCACCTTGGACAGGGCGGATCCTGCTTTGCCCCCCAACGCCCCCCACCCCATCACCCCCCACCCCCATCACCACAGCCCTGATTTCGGGCAGAACCAAGAGGGGCCCTTGGACGGCAGGCGGTACCTGGAATATGCTGGCTCCATACGGGGTCCTCCAGGCGTTGAGGAGGTTGTCTTTCCCAGTGCTCACGAACCACTTGCCTGCAGGCGAGAGGCAGGAGCGTCAGGCCGGGGCCTACTGCCCTCTGCAGTAAGACCACCCCCATGCGGTGGCTGCCATGGAAACGCGGGGTGAACTGCTAACCCGTGCTGAGCCTCCCCTGCCAAGAGGCAGACACCTAGCAGACACGGACACCCAGAGAATGCCTTTCTCTGCAATCGAGGAGGACTGGGCAGGGCTGGCGGGGAAGGTAGAGTCTGCTCTTAATCACAGCAATTACACTTCCCTCAAACATTCTTTTAAAGCCACTAAGGTCGACTGATCCATCTCACTCCTACTGGAAGAGAGCAGGAAGTGTTGGAACGTGACAAGCCCTGAGTCTGCAGACCCAGCTGAGGATGGTCAGCGGGTGCCCTTGCTCTGCCAGGGCACTGCCAGCGTTCACACACTCTGCTCCCCAAAGCCACGCGGTGGGTGCGGTGCCATTCCCAGGCCACAGAGGAAGACCCACGGGAGGCAGAGAGGACGAGATGTGTCGCAGGCTGCACAGCTAGTCCGTGGAGAAACAGACGTTCCAACCCCGGGCTCGCGGCCGTCAGAGCCTGCCGTCTGGGGAACTGCCCCTGGGCTGGGGGCACTGCTCGCTTGCTCCGGGCCAGCAGCGACTCGTTCTGGCCTGGCGTCAAGAGAGCTCAGTACCCGGTCTCTGCACCCGAGGGACAAGGATGGGGAGACACCAGTCAGGGTCGGGAGGCCTGACTCCGTCAGGGCTCTGCTGCTCCTGTGAGCTTTGGGCCCGCTCCCCGCTCACCACAGTAGGCGAACTTGAGGGAGAGCACGCAGCTCTCGTGCAGGTGCAGCTGGTACTTGTCCGGCTTGGTGTGGTGCAGCACCTCCACGTTGCTGCTCTCCATGCCCACGGCCAGCCACTCCCCGGTGGGGCAGTAGCCCAGGGAGAAGATCTGCAGCGGAGGGCAGACAGCTCAGCCCCGCTGCCCTCCACACCCCGCTCCTTCCCAACCACCTCCCGCCTGCCCGGTGCAGAGCCAGGCCCTCCTCTCCCTCAGCCCCATCGCCCAGGGGCGCGGGGTGTCACTTTTCACCCCCATTTTATAGGTGAGGAGGCTCGGGCTCAGAGAGGCTGCTGACTCTAGAGAGTAAGTGGGGGAGCTAGGATCCAAACAGGTGGTACAGAGACCTTTTGCTTTAAGAAAGTTACTGTCTGTGACTTCTGTCTTTCCTTAAGAAACAAGGGAGTAAGTAAAACACTAAAGTATTAAATATGCATGACTAAAATATTAAAATGAATAGCGAGCCCGGCCAGTGTGGCTCAGTGGTTCGACTGCCAGTCAGGGCACAATCCCGGGCTATGGGCCCGATCCCCCGTGGGGTGCGTGCAGGAGGCGGCCAATCGGTGTTCTCTCTCATCGATGTTTCTCTCTCTCCCTCTCCCTTCCTCTTTCTCTCAAATCAATAAAGTAAAAAAAAAAAGAAAAAAATAGAGCAATGAAAATAACATAAAAAGTTGTAATACCTAGCCATTTACAGAATGTTTCCTATGAGCCAGGCTACTGGCTAAGGCTTTTAGAGGTGCGCACAGACCTTCTTCCCATCGCAGAACGGGCAAAACTGAGGCCAACTTCTCAACAGTGCAGGAGCTGAGAATTAAATCTAAGCAGCTGGGTCAAGTATGTCCAATTCCAAGGCCTTGTTGATTCTATTTCATTGCCACTTCCTCCAGGAAGCCTTCCCAGATGGCTCCGGTTGGTCTCAAATCCATTTGCAATGACCACCCCTGAGGGCCCCTGGATCGGAGAAGAGTCGGCTGCTCACCTGGGAGGTGAAGTCATGCTGCTGCAGCTGCCGGCCCTCCCGCAGGTCCCAGGAGCGCACGGTGTTGTCCAGGCCCCCCGTCCACAGCTTAGTGCCGTCGTGGGAGATGTCTATGCAGCTGGCCCCATCTGTGTGGCCCTGGAACTGCCTATGAAGACCAAGCAGGGAGATGGGATGAGACCAGGAAACCATGAATGCCAAGCTGGCAGCCTCTGAGCAGGAGAGTAAACTGAGGCCCAGAACCATGTGTCCATGGTCCCTGAGTGAGCTTACAGCACAGCCAGGCCTGGCCCCTCTGCCACTCCACTTAAGGGTCCTGTCCAAGGGCAGGTGCATAACACAGGGACTTCCCTCGGTGGACACTCTGGGCCTCCTCAGTGTGCATTCCTAATCCCTTTCTTTATCCCACGACTCGGGGCTGAGGTCATATGCAAGCCATATGGTAATGTGATGAACCAAGACAGCCAAGGTGTACCAAAAGCGGACTCGGGGCCAGCCCTGCTGCCGCTGCCCTATGTCTCACTCCGAGGCAGGCACCGAGACACAGGGCTCGGTGAGGCACAAGGCCCCTCCCACAGCCGCACCTGACGAGCGTCTGGTTGTGCAGGTCCCACACGGCAATGTTCCCATCACTGCAGCAGGAAAAGCAGACTTTGGCATCGGGACTGATGGCCAGAGCATAGCAGGCGGGGGCGGAGGATGTCAGCTCAGCCTTGATGCGGGGTGTGGGTGAGGCCAGGTCCCAGATGGTGAGCGTGCTGGCCTCACCACCCACGATGAGCGTGCGTCCATCAGGGAGCAGCTTGCAGGAGCGGATGTAGTTGTCCCTGTTCTGGAAGAGAAAGCGCCGTGTTGAGCGCTGTCCACCTCCCTTCCCAGGGGCCAGGAGAGGCACATCCCCGGCTCCCATCCTGCCCACGTTCCTGGCAACGGCCAGGCCTTCTCCACTGCTGGTTCACAACTCTTCAATCTCTCCTGCATTTTTTTTTTTTACAAACCCCAGGAGGTCAGTATAATCTCCATTTAGACAGTAAAACCAGGACTCGAGGAAGTTGGGCAGCTTTCCCAAGGTCACCCAGCCAGTGCAGGGCCGAGCCAGGACAGGTCGACGGGACTGCCAGGCCAGCTAGAGGTGCCCACCGCGCGGGAACCCTCACCAAGCAGTCGAGCTGGGAGATGGGGCTCTTGCTGCCTGGCTGGCTGATGTCCCAGATCTTCACACAGCCCTTGCCCCCTGTGTAGACGTGCCGTGTGGGGTTGCTGATGGTCACGGCACACACCACCTCCCCGTGGCTGAGTGTGTTGATCTGCCGGGCGTGCCTGGGGATGCCGGGGCCTGCCAGGGCGTCGTGGGGGAAGGGCACAGGCTGCATCTGCCCATCAGCGCTCACGTGGAAAGAGTAGGCTCTGAAAGGGCGGGAACGGTCACTTCTGCTGTCCCCAGTGCTCCCCCCGCTCCCCCGTGTCCTGGCCAGTTCCACCAGCACAACTGACCTAGCTGCCGCCCAAATCTTAGGGAACCCGGTAACCCCAACCTCCTTGGCCAGGCTCCACCAGGCTTCCTGCCTCGACTTCTGCTCCTGCTTACACATCCTTGCCCCCAATCAGGTCACTAGCCTCAGCTGTGCCTTGGGATGGTGACATTGCTAACATACAGACTGCCCCTGGAAAGGACCCAGAAGAATGGCACCTCCCCCCCTTTCAGGAGCCAGGGGAATTGGGGGAGGGGGTTTATTTACATTCCCCAATGAATTACAGAGTACAATCAGAGCCAGGGGGTAGGTTGGCATGGTCTGCCTGCTTCTTCGGGCTACTGTGGGTGCCAGGCGGGACTGTTCCACACAGGTAGAACCCAAAGGAGCCCCCAGGACAACTGTGTCATTTGGTTAGGAGACCTAACGTCTGCCGTATTCCTCCTCTCCCAGACCCAGTGACCACAACCCAAACCCCCCAGGCCCCCTGTTAGAGGGAACCCTGGGCTGGCCTGGAGCATGGACAGGCAGCCGTCTCCTAGGATCACAGCCTGGTCTATCGGAACCTCGGAAGGGCGGACGGACGCCTTCTTAAGGGATGCCCCCCAGGGCAGGGGAGGGGGACAAGGGCTGAGCTCCCTGCCCTCCCCAAGCAGCATGCAGGGAGCACAGCGGAGCTTACGGTTTTCCACCAGGGATGGAGGTGAGGCTTGAAGGCAGGCCTGTGGCCCGCATGGGCGGGTGAGGGTCAAAACCAACCTGTAAGGCAAGGCGAGGCCGGCCCTTAGTGAGGGTCACACCATGTCCCCCCTACCCTGGCCTCCTCCCCCTCTACTTCCTGGGTCTCGCCCGCACAGCACTGCTTCTTCAGAACCCGCAGCCACTCCAGCACAGCAGAGCCCACTGATTTAAGGGAACACAGGCCCAGGAGGGCAAGGGCCTCGCGCAGGACGAGGGCAGGGATGCGGTGGCAGCCCAGACCACCCAGCTCTCCCTGCTCCCCACTTCAGGTCCCCCACCGTGCCCAGGGGGCCTGCCACGCAGCGAGGAGGTACAGGGGGTGAAAACAGAAACGGTCTCCTGAGAAAAGACCCCTCTTGCCACCAGCCCAATCCAAGTGCGCACGGACACTAGCAGACAGTTCTCGGCACACTGTGCAGCCCCATTCGCCAGACCCTGCTCCCTTGAGATCACCTGACTCATCTCGGGACCCCATCCTCAGGGAGCCCCCTACTTTCCAGACAGAAGGGACAGCCAGGGAGGTAACGTGTGACAGTGTGACAGGCAAGCAGGTGTGGGCCTGGTCTGCGGGTCCCGGGTGTGCTGTTTTCTGGTTTTAACGAGCACTTGCCCACAAAGGCTGCCAGTCGGGAGACCCTCTGGTCTGCAGAAAGTGCCCCTGACCCTCACCAGCTCCCTACTCCTAGCCAGTCCCCCCAAAAGGAGCCAAAAAGTCTACGTACAGCTCCAAAGCTCACCATTGGCGATCGGCCATAGGCGGCGGCGGCGGCGGCGGCGGCCGCGCTCATCTGGGGCGGGATGTTGTGGAGGCCGGCGTAGGCACTGGGGCTGGTGAGGGAGCCGTTCATCTCGTGGTGGCTCATCATGGCAAAGGGCGCTGCGTAGGAGCTGGTGATGGAGATGGGCGTGCGCAGGGCTGAAGCTGCAAGGAGGCGGCATCAGTGGGGTGGCCGTCGGGGGCCTGGGCCCCACCCCGCTCCGGACAGAGACCAGGCCAGCAGCAGCGCTTCCGGCACTGAGAGCCGCCTGCTCCAGGCAGCGCTCAGAGAGCCTCCTAACTGGGGTCCCATCTCCGTAAGACTCAAGCCCAGAGATGTGCCCCCATTCTGTATAGAGCAGGTCACGGAAGTCCAAAGAAGGGGGTTGTTCAGAGTCTCACAGAACAGGGGCAGGAGCAAACCGTGGGTGTCCTGACCTATCTGAAGCGGCTCACACACGCCTGGCCCAGCAGTGAACCCACCAAGCCCTAACAGTGTTGACACACCAGTCCATCTCCTCCTGAGACCTGACCACGCATCCCCGCTGGCAGGCCCGGGGACAGCCTCGCTCCAGCACACTCCCTGGCTCATCTGCGCAGCTCCAGCCTGGCCCGGCAGACCCCTCCCCTCAACCAGTGTCCCAGCCCCTGTGCCTACCCATTATACCTATCGGGTCCATGCCTGGAGGTTTGCCTGGCATCGACCGGAGCCCTGGGGTGGTGCTGGTGCCTGGAGTCGGGGCATCATTCCTCGGGGTTGGTGTGTTGGACTTGAGCCCAGGGGTGGAGGATTTGTCGTTCTGAATGGGGAAGACGCAGAGACCAAGGGAAGCTATGAAGCTCTATATCCCAAGCGCTGGGCACTCAGAGCCACAATGCCTAGTGCTGGTCACATGAAGCATGGGGCCAGCACCAACCATTTTCAATCTTCCGCCCAACAGCTGCTGAATCCTTGCCCGACCTTGTTTAGCAGAGACCACGGTGACTGTTCCCGCTTCACAGATGCAGCAACCAATGCTCAGAAAGGTTGACCAGCTGGCATAGGCCGGGCCAGTGAGCAGTAAGCCAGCATTTGAACTTGGCCAAACCCCAACCCATGTTCACTTTACTCCGTCCCTCCACCCTCGGGTCAGCACCACTCCAGCTCCAGTCTCTTTTTCCAGAACGTTTTCCTCCCACCCCACCCTCCGCAGCCCTCCCCCAGCTTGCGCAGCACCGAGGCGGACCCCACATACATGACCAAGGTCTTTGGTCTTGGAGGAAGGTGTGCTGCTGGAGGAGGCCACCGAGGCGGGGCTGGTGGGGGCGTCCTTTTTCAGGCCACGGGCTTTGTCCAGCCCGTTTTCAGGAGGGGAGTGTGCCGGGCTGACCCGGGGTGTTGCTGGGTCCTAAAAACACAAGTGATGCAGAACTGTACTCAAAGCCAACGACCAGCCTGGACTCCTTCCTGCTCCGGGATGGGGAGGGGGTGGGCATGGGTGATAGGAAAATGAGCCTGGCTGAAGGAGACTGGGGACCCCAAAGTGGACGACTAGTTCTTAATGATGTAGTCTGATCCTTCAACCCTCAGATGGGGAGACGGAGGCCTGGGTGGGGGTGGGGTGACCTGCCCCAAATCACACACAGTCCAGGACTCAGATCTGGGCAGCTGGGCCCCGTGGGTAGGTCTGCTCCAGCGCCACCTTCCCCGCTGAGGCCGAGCCGGGGCTCACAACCCCCACCTCTCAGACCTGCTGGAACAGGTGCTGGCCCTACTCTGGATCTCTGGGATCTCTCTCTGGAGACTTGTCCCAGGATCCACCCAGTGCCCATGAATGCCCAGCCACCATGCAGCGGAGCCCTGCCCCGCACCTCCCCCCAGCCTGATACCCCAGCTGCACAGCCGCTGAGACCCAGGAGCTCTGCCCAGGAGAGGAACACCCTCAAACCCCCAAGCCGAGCCGCCCTCACCTCGTTGGAAACATCCACCACTAGATCGTCACTCTTGTCCCCATCGCTGTCCTGCAATCGAGAGAAGCCAGTCAGAGGCCACGCCCTCCCCACCCCGACTGAGCACGAACCATCCTCACCCTGCTCCCACCACCAGGGTCTACACCCAGGCCACCCCGAGGTCCACCAGGCGGCCCTCCGGTCCCTGCTTCCTGGCCCCGCCCCAGCTCTCGGGCACCCGGCTCCCACGCCCACAGGCAGGACACCTGGCCCGTTACATTTCTAAGCCCTTTCAACTTGTCTCCCTGGAGCCAGACATGCTTCCCAGCGGGTTTCTAGTTGCCATCGTTGACAAGGAAGTGACCTGGTCTCACTTCACCATTTCCACACTGTGCGGGAGGGGGGACGAGCCGCAAGGCCCAGGAATGCAGCTGCGGCTTCGGCGACGCAATGTGTCCCAAGCCACAGAGCAGCCGAGGGGCTGGGCGGGGCTTGGCAGAGGACCACCAGGGCCCCGCCGAGCAGCACCCCCTCTGCCCGGCTCTCACCCCGGCACCCTGCACACCTGCAGAGCAGACCCCTCGCCCACGCTGTGGGGCAGTGTGAGCACGGGACGGATCCCCGGAGCAGACGGCACTCTGGGAGGCCGAGATGGCCGCTGGGGCTGGTGGCCTGTCCCTGGGAGGTGCCCCCAGTTCTTCCCAGACCCCCCCACCCCCCAAGCAACCACCAATCCTTGGTGGGACTCCCTCTCCTGCCCTTGGCCCCACCTATGTCTTTCTGACTCACCCACGACTCAGGTGCTGTGGGTTCTCCCACACCCCAGACTGCCCAACACAAACCCCGTGGTGCCCGCCTCGCCCTCAGACATACGTATCGGCTCAGGCTGTCCTTTTCCTCAGCCTTCCGCTTCTTGGCTTCCATGCTGTAGTCTGCAGAGCCCCGGTGCTTCTCACTGGCCCGCAGGCTTTCTGACGGCGACACCGAGTTATTCTGGGAGCGGGAAGGAGATTCGGTGATCATTTCACACACGGTCACAGCTAAGGGCAGCGACTCAGAGGTCAGCGGAGGAGTCTTTCACGTTCTGCAGGTCACAGCTGCACTGGTGCCTCACCAGGAAAGCCGTCCTAACTCCACAGACGAGGTCCCCCCGGGAGAGGCTCTGGGAGTGTCACAATGCTCTTTAGTAGCAAAGCTGCTGCTACTAAGAAATTAACCTCGCCAGGAGCTCTGTCCCTCCCGGCCTATGAGACGGCACGCTCAGGGCAGGAGTCACACCTGCTTCACCCCCACTCATGCCTGTCACACGTGTTTGTTCCAAGAAGGATAAGCACAATTTGCAGAGTCTTGAAAGAAGGATGGAAGCCGACACACTGGGGCCCTGTGCAATACTTCATCTGTTGACCCTGACAGGAAAGGCGACTGCCAACAGGCTTTCCAAGTGGAGGCGCAACTTTAGAGAAATACCAGGCTTATAAGGAGACACCTGCCAGCAAACCTCTGTGCCCAGAAAATAGTCAGAACTGGGGGGGCAGGGTCTGGTGCAGTTGACTCCGGGCTATGAGCCAAATCCTGACCTTCCCTCATTCTCTCCCCACCCACCCCGCTCTGAGTACCCACCACAGGGCCGGGGTGGGGTGTGGGGGTGCCCGGGATGGAGGAAGGAGCAGGCACAGCCCTGCCTTAGCAGCATCCGGCCCAGCTAGAGGGACGGGGAAAAGCTGCCATCAGCATCCCCAAGCGGTGCAGAAGTGCGTGACAAGGACACAAGGAGGTGCAGAGGGACGTCTGCTCACAAGAGGGCATCAAAAGGCCAGTGGGGTGAGGCAACAACTCCGTCTCCCCACTTTCCTGAGGGTTCGTGCGGGTGTTTGGGGGAATGGTGAGGGACCCAGCTGCAGAACTTAATTTCCTTTGCTAAGCCGGTTTCTGGGCATCCCTTCCCTGCCAAGTTTCTGCCTGAAGCAAATTAAAATGGCAGAGTTATCAAGCCTTGGAGGGAAAGATGGAGGTTATAATGGAACTGCAGCTCAACCTTCCCACAGCCGTGAGCGCGGCGGCGATGTGCGCACGGCCGCAATTCAATTAGCTGCTGCAAAGCCTGGCAGAAAAATCACCGTCATTTCATTTCCCTTCCGCAGACGGTGGCCGCCCCGTGCTAAGCAGAAATGCTTCCAGGCCCTGTCCTCGCAGGCAGGGAGGAGGGGCGTGTGGCAGCTCGTGTTTCTCCTTGCGACCCAGAGCGCAGCTCGGAGAACAGGGAGCTCTTTCTTCTCATGCAGTCAGGCTGAAAACCCTTGCTGCTACCGGAGAGTCATGTCAGGCATTTAGCGGCATCGATCCAGCCCGCCTCTGGCTGGCAGGCAGCCAAAAAACTAAGTATTTTTTATTGCTTCAGCTAAGCAAGGAAATATGAATGAAGCTACCTCTAATTGGACTCCAGACTAACCCCTCTGGGACAGCTTCCAGCCCGTCCAGCCATCCCCCTCCCACCCCGGCACAGCCCTGTCCTTCCGGCCGTGGGCCACATCTGTTGACAACCTGGTTTCCAAAGGGCTGATTACTTCAGTCTACACCCACTCCGACACCATCCTCACATGCACACAGCCCCCCGCCTCTCCCGAGCTGCCTGTCCCACCCAGGGCGGCGTCCAGGCTCGTTCCCACTGGACTCTCCGGGGGCCCCAGCCTGCCCCTGCGCTGTGCATCTGATGTGTGTGGACACAGGCGAGCACACAGAGCGAAGAGCTGAGCTCCTGGGGTTCCCCATAGGTTTCTCTTAGCAGAAAGCTTTCATAAACTGGGGCACAAAGCCAAGAGCAAATAGCAGAGAGGATGAGGACGATGCGAAAACGGGGGGGGGGGGGGGGGGCTGGGCTTCAATGACCCATTTCGTGCTGCACCAGGTCCATTAACCAGGTCATCTCTGGTACCCTGGGTTCTGTTCTGAGGCGGGCCTTCCTAACTAAGCTGAGAGGCTGGCTAAGGAGGAAGATGGCTGTGTTAGAGATAAGGAAACTGAGGCTGAGAGAGACCACGAGAGCCATCCCATGTCCCACGAAGCCAGGACCAGACCTAAGCCTTGGGGTGTCCAGTCTAGGCCTTCTCCTGTTGAGGCAAGCAAGCCTCTCTCCAAAAATGCCCATTTTCTGAGGACCAACAAACACGAAAGCCATCAAAATGGATTTTCAGCTTCAGTTATTCCTTTCTTACGCACCTAGCCGTTCCTGAGCCCCCATGAGCATGTAGGCCAGCCCAAGGGGACAGGAGCGCAGGTGCTCAGGGAGGTCACAAAGCCAGCCTGGGCGGTGGGCTGGGACGGTTAGTTAACTGCCCAACCTTCCAAGTCCTGCTTAACACAAGGTAATAAGCAAAGCCACCCTAGCAGATTAGATGGCCCCAGATACAAGGACAGCGATGAGGGATGGAAGAGCTTTGCTAATCGCTGGGGGATTTTTTTAATCCAGACTTCACTGTGCTTATTCAGAGGCTTATTCACTTGAAACAGAACCTCTGAGCCTCAGTGTAATCAGAAAGATTTACCACAAATCTCGTAGCTGGCAGCCTCGCAGGCAGCCTGGCCGCAATGCTTGCTTCCCAGCACTTCCCTAAACCCGGGACGCGGAGCGACTGCAGGTGTCCAGAGGAAATGAGACGCAGGACCGCATGGAGGCGGCCGACCGGGGGTGGGGAAGCGCCACACCCAGGACATGGGACACGGTCCTAAGCCCTGGGCTCAGCCCACAGACCCCCCGAAGGCCCCAGGGCCCGCCAGCTGACCTCGGAGTAATCACCTCTCCTATAAAGGGAGTTAGAGCCCGTTTAGCCGGAGCTCTTCATCTGACAAATGCCGGACCCAAAGCCTGGAGAGACGAAGGCTTCCCCGAATGAAGTTCACGTTCAACAAGTGACAACTCCCAGTTCACAACACTCCCACCCCCACCAACACCACATGGTCCCCGCTCCCCAGCACCCCCCCAAACACACCCCAGTGGATCCAGAGGGCTGACACTTACCGCACTGGACTCTCTCTCTGTGGGGAACGAAGGCCAGGTCAGACGGAGGGTCAGGCCCCAAGACAAAAAGACAAAAGGAAAGAAAAAGGTCAGTCTCAACCAGCTGGCTTCTATCCTTTGCTGGCTCGTGGGTTTTCGAACCAGCAGCAGGCCCGGCCTCACTGTGGGTCAGTCAAGGCAGGGCATCGGGGACGTTTCCGAGCCCGGAAGTGAACGCCCCATGCCGACACTGGCCCGGCCACCAGTGCTGGGTGCGGCGTGGCCGGGCTCTCCGGACACGCCGCGGACACCCAGACTACCAGGGAGCAGTTTCTAAGCCACAAGCTTCCGAAGAATCACACTAAGCAAATATCCCCAACACCTGGGGTTGAGAACGTTATTGTTCAAGAAAAAAGAAACTGTGAGAGTGGTGTCTGCTGTGGTTTAATTAACACCCTTCTCTGTTCTTTGTCAAAAGACCCTGGAAGCTGAAGCCTCTAATTATTTGCCCAGTTGGGCACTAGTGCCCTAACGTTCCTGTCTGCTGTGGGGAGGCCCTCTTCTGCAGCGCACCACCCTACTGCGGGGCATGGCCTGGCACTGCCCTAGGGCGCTGGCCAGGGCAGGATGACACTCCAGAACCCAGTGCCCACGTGTGGTGCCCAGGGGGCTTGGATGGTGCTGGCCGTGGGCCCTAGTAGTATCTAACTGCAGATCAAATCATGATGCTGAATACCTTAAATTCACATGATGTTCTATGTCAATTATATCTCAAGAAAGCTAGAAAAAATACCTAAGGGCAGGGCACACACAGTAGCCGTTTTTGAAAAGGGTCTCCCAGGAAGCCGGGCCTTCCCTTCCCCACCAAACTGGGTCCTCCTGAGGGCCTGCCCTGTGCAGCCCCGGCTCCTCCGGTAAGGGCCCGGGGAAGGTCTTCCCGAGCACGCCCTGCAGTGGTGTGATGGCCACTCTACCTACAGACAGTCAGCTCAGCAGTCTTGACGTGAGTGCTGACTGTGCTTTTCCAAGGCACCGTGGTGGTGAGACACACACTGAGTTCAACACCCAGGAATGTGGCCCCTGTCCTCAGAGGACTAATAACCTTGGTGAGGACAAACGTTTCCCAGGGGTAGGATACAAGAGGACAGTAACGAAGGACTCAGTCCTGGGACTCCACCCCTGAAACTCTTATGGAAATTTGGAAAAGACCCCAGCCTGGCCAGGAGGGCATCCTGAAAATGTGGGGCTGAGGCTGGTCCTTAGGGCTAGGCATGGTGCAGCTAGGAAGATGGGAGGCTACTCCGGGAGGAGAAGACACAGTGTCTTCCAGGGCAGAGGACCCCGGGTGCGAATCAGTGACTAAGGGGGGGAGGGGGCTCTGTTTCCACGCACCAGGAATTCAAGAAATGGCTGCAAACTTTCTGCTAACTCCTGATCCTAGGGTGACAGCATTTGCTGCGTCCATTTATACAGCAGGGCCACAGGACCCCTGCCCCCAGCCCAGCCCTCTGCCCCTAGTCCCAGCCCCAGGCCGCACCTCTGTGGTCCAGCTCGTGGTGGTTCTTCTCGTCCTTCACCGTCATGTGGGCCTGGCTGCCCAGGGCTCCAAGTGCCAGCAGCCCCGAGCTGCTCCCTGTCACCGGGGGGATCCCTGGAGGCTGGAGGCCTGATGGGTGGGGTGGCAACTGGACCGGGGGGCCGTGTGTGGCATGGGAGAGGTGCTGCGCCTGGAGCTGCTGTTGCTGCAATGAAGTTGGTGGTGAGCACAGCTGAGCAGGAAGGGCGGGGGAAGCCACAGGCCACCCCTCTTGCTCCTTCATGGGGTGGCAGGGGGAAAAGCCCCCCAAAACCTCTGTCCCCAGCTCAGTCCACATGCAGTGTTGCTGAAGGAAGTCTTGTTAATGAACTGCAATTCAGATAAAAGATTTATGTCTTCAAACACCCCACCTGTCCCCCACCCCGTTCAGGACAGAATTTCTTCACGTATGTTTAACAGTCTAAAAGAAAGAACGCACACATTCAAACACCACAGCCATCGGGCACCCTCTCAGCCGGGGGGATCCTTCTCTAAGCTCCTGGCAGTTTGCTCACGCTTCCGTGCCTTCCACACTGGCGGCCAGCACCCCAGCCTGAGCCCCGATCCCAGGGAAGGCTCCCTAATGCCGAGGAACTCCAGGCCTGCCTTAGAGGGCCGGGCTGGCTACCACAGCCAAGTCCCAAGATCAAAAGAAGGCTGGGCCAGCGAAATGAGACCTCATGTCACTGGACACCAGAGTGGAGAACAGGGTGACAAGTGGAGTCTTCCCTGGCGGCGTAGTTCAGTGGTTTGAGTGTCCTCCCACTACGCCAAGGCTGCAGGTTCGATCCTCAGTCAGGGCACATACAAGAATCAACCAATGAATGTATAAATAAGTGGAACAACAAATTGATGTCTCTCTTTCTCAAATCAATAAATAAAAATATACAAAAAAAAAAGAAGTGTGGTCTCTAGAACCAGTGCAGGATTCCAACCCCAGCTCTGGCACTGACTGGCCGTGTGACCTCAGGCAGGTCACTCATTAAGTGACCTCCTAACAGTAGCTAACACTTACCAGAGGGCTCACCATGCCTCCTGTTCTCAAACCCAGACCTGATTAACTCAGTATTACCAACAATAGCAACAACAGTCCCTCATCAAGGATTGTGGCCCCTGCTCCGGACACCGTACCCCTTCCCAGTACCAGCCTCAGGGTCCTCTCGTTCCCTCTCCCCAAGGGACTGGCTTAGGCAGCCTCAGGTCTCTCCCCCAGCAGCAGAACAAAATGCCCTTTTATCTTAACATTCCTGATTTTGCCAAAACTTCATAGGGATGGATATTTCTTAGGAGTGGCTGAGGCCTTGGATATACTGACATCCGCCAGTGTGTACATCTTGCTTCTCAATTAGCACAAGAGAAGGAACCAACATTGATGATTGCCTGGGCATTTCCAAATATTATCTCTGACCCTTCCAACCACCTGGCAGAGGAGGGGTTGTGCCCATTTTACATTTGGCAAGCTGACGCTTGGGGGTGGAGAGGGGGTAACCAGTAACTAGCAAAGTCCCCATCTCTAGTAAGTGGGATCTGGGCTCAAATCTATCAACCAACCTCACCCACAGAATATTCCTAAGAAGGCCCCCAAAGAAAGGATTCCTTGGGGATGGGGCAGAAGTCGGACGAGCGTGCCTGTCCGCTGCGGCCGTGGGGCTTCTGCTAACCGCCAGCGGGGAACGAAGGCCCGCCGTTCCGGCTGGAGCTGGTGCTCCGAGGGGCAGCCCTGGAGGTCAGACACGCCGACCCCACGCTCACGGCTGCGCTGCAGACTGCCAACCTGGCCCACCCAAGTCAACGGCAGCCACAGCTACCACCAACTCCTGGCCCGGAGGGCTCGTGTCTCCGCTTTGGATGAAAGGCTGGATCTGCTGCTGGGGGCACGGGGGCCCGTGTGGCCTGACCCCAGACCTGCCCCAAGACGCCCCCCCCCCACACCAGGAACACGCCCAGGGACTCCGGAGCTGGAGCCCACCGCGGAGCTCCCCAACCTTTTCTTTCTCAAGAAAATGTAATTATATATATATTTTTTGTTAATCCTCACCTGAGGATATTTTTCAATTGATTTTTAGAGAGAGTGGAAAGAAGGGAGAGAGAGAAACATCAATGTGAGAGAGACATACTGATTGGACGCCTCCTGCTCACCCCAACCAGGGCCAGGATGAAACCTGCAACCCAGGCTCATGCCCTTGACAAGAATCGAACCCACAACCCTTTGGTCCATGGGCTGACACTCTAACCGGTGAGCCAAACCGGCCAGGGCATAACTTTTATATCTTATTACAAAAGTAATACATACTCACTGTCAGAAAATAGTACAAACATGTAGAGATTAAACTTTTTTTTTTTTCTAAAAATTTTACTCTTCAATCCCACTCCCAGAATCCACTGTTCATCCGTCTAGATTTTCCTTCATGGAAATCCACAAATTCTAAATGTATTTCTATACAAATGGGCTCTTGTTGACTTTGCTGCTATACACTTGGATTTTAATTCAGAGTATTGTAAACAAATCAACATTTCTTTTTTTATTAATCCTCACCCGAGGACATTTTTTCCATTTTTTGTTCAGACAGAGTGGGAGGGAGAGAGAGGAAGAGAGAGAGAGAAACATCGATGTGAAAGGGACACATCGAGTGGCTGCCACCCACACGACCCAACCAGGACCAGGGACAAACTGCAACCAATGTACGTGCCCTTAGCAGGAACCGAACCCGGGTCTCTCTGGACCACAGGCCGACGCTCTAACCGCTGAGCCAAACCGGCCAGGGCTCAAGATTTCTTTTTGAATGGCTGCGTAGCCTTCCCTGGTGAGGCTGGACCATTCAACTTCCTCTAGATGCCCTGTTATAAAATGAGTCTCTGCTGGGGACTCTGGTTTTAGACCAGTTGTGCTGGTAGGCCCTCCAATTCTACTAGGGTAAACTATTTAGTAAAATCCCAGACAGCAAAATGGAGGTATTTAATTCACACTCTGCTGTGTCCGACCACTGGAGGGAGGAGGGAGAGGCGGGGAGGGTGGCCTCGAAGAAGCAGCTCTGCTCCTGGGAACCAGGCCAGCCCTCCATTTACAGCCTGTTTCTCCAGAGAGAGCTCACTGAACATTCATACCCATGGAAGACTCAGCCGAACAATTCTAAACACCCTGCTTCTCTCCTTACCACGGAAGGTCTGCCCCCTGACCCAGCCTTCTAGGCTCATCATTCAAATGCCACCTCCTCTAGAAGCCTCCCATCCCCTTGATTTCTCCCCTCAGAGTTCTACCAGCTCAGACTCTGGAGTCAGACAGACTACGGTGGGCACCCAGCTCTCCTTTACCAGAAAAGACCTTACTTGAGTCAGCGGACCTCTCTGGGCCTCAGTTTTCTCATCTGCAAAATGGGAATCAGAATGCAGCCCATTTCTTCAGGCTGTGCAAAGACCACATGCTTTACTACATGTAAAGGCAAAGTAGGTGCTCAATTAACATTAACAAAAGCTATGACTGGAGGGCGAATGTAACTATTTCATCTTTACACAATGCCCCGCAACTTGTGGCTTCCAGAAAAACAGAAACCTTGTTTCATCCATCCCAGCACCTCGACCATGGCGCCTGGCGTGCTTGCTGGGAAAAGGTAAACATGTAGAGAGTGAACCAGCACCAGTGGCTTGCAACGCTGTTCCTGCCATTAGCATGTCAAGTATGCGTGTCTTCTTTACAACAAAGGAAACTTCCACGTGCCATGTACTTGTCATCTTCAAGTACAAGAGCACCCCTGCACAGCCAGGTCTCCTCGGAGCGCTTTGAAGGCACAGTCAGGAGTGGCCTCCGAGGCTTCCTTCTCGGGGTGGGGCGGGGCTAGGGCGGGCTGGAGGGGAGTCTTCCTTACAGCAGACACTGAAACAAAGTTTTCTCCCTAGGGGAGCAGGGGCGCCATGTCACAGTGCAGCCCTCTGCAGGCAGGCCGCCAGGGCACAGCCCTCCTCAGGCTGCATTCCTACCCGTGACATCCCTGACTTCAGAGGACAATGCGCGAAAACACAGTGACATCTGAGTGAGCAGGTGACCGTGTTTTCAACTGGAGGAAAATGGAATCCAGTCCACAGTCCGAGGAGGGGCCGGAGCTACCACTTTGCAGCAGCCTGCCTCGTTCCTGCTGTTCCTTCTCACACCCAAGCCCCCGAACACTTCAGGTCCAAGAAGCGGGGGCATGGGTGCGTCCCCATCCTCTACACATGGCCAAGTGCCTGTGCCCAGGGCTCAGGCAGGAGGCATGGCCGCTTACAGGCAAGACCACTGGGAAGACGCTGGCAGAGTGTGTGACTGGGTTGTGCACATCATGCTCTGTGCTTTGTGAGCTGAGTTAATGCTCCTCCTCTAGGTTCATGATCTGGGCTAAACTTAGTCAAGTTCTCTAAGCATCTCCAGAGCCAGGCCCCACGGAGGATGTCTACCCAAGGGAGCACAGTCCTCACTGCATAAAATGAACAGGCCCTGTCCTCCGAGGAGAGGGAGAACAGCCCCAGGCCTCTGCTGGAGCTTTTGCTTCTCAGGGCTGGTGGGCCCATAGCATCTAGAGCTCACAACCCCTCTGACCCCCAGTTCAGAGGCTAAGGGACTCTGCAAGAAGCACCCGGAGCCAGGACAATGCCGGCATTACTTCTCCCCAACATGGCCACCTGGTGAAAGAAACGCATGCATTCTGAGGCATCCTCCCTCACCACCCTCCTCCCTCACGTAAAACCCAGTCGGCTGAATCCAGCTCACCGACACCCTGGAGCGGGCAAGAACCTTAGCTATGGCTTCAACACACTAGTTTGTGACAAGACAGATACAACCCACCCCCTTCTTCCTCCTCACATCCTACTTAAAAAAAAAAAAAAATAAGCCAACACTGTATAATCTCTCTCCCACTAATAACTTCCAAGGGAATGCAAATCAAACTGTCAGTGGGCCAGTGAGGGGACAGCCTCTCCACCCTCCAGATTCAGTGACCTTGGGCCAGCACAGAGCGATGTAAACAAGGATTTGTAAATGGTCAATAATCACGTCCGCTCAGTCTTTCACATGCCTGGGGATGCCTTGTGCAAGTTGCTACCAAGGAACAAAATTTCCTCACTCATGCTCAGGAATCTTGACCCTCCCAGGACCCCGCAATAGTCTGGATCCAAGAACAAAGGGCATGTAACAAGAAGGGGCCTGCAGTAATGATCCTTCCAGGCCCCAACCAGCAGAGACATCTTCGGTCCTGTCTTCCCTAGACGGACAGGTTCATGATCTGGGCTAAACTTAGTGAAGTTGTCTAAGCATCTCCAGAGCCAGGACCCACTGGGGATGTCTACCCAAGGAAGCACAGTCCTCACTGCATAAAAGTCTCCTGGGGCCCCACCAGGAAGTGGGTGGGCAGGGCCAGCAAGCCTGCGCTCCCTCAATCTGCCCCCCTGTCTCCTCTCCTCTCACACCAAGCTGATGCTAAATCCTGGCCCTACTCACCAGGAAGGGGGGACTCTGGAAGTATCTCCGTCCACACAGTAAGTATGCCATTAGCTACAGGCATGGCCACACCAGACATACCTAACTTATCTCCCATACCTTCTGAGCTGAGCCAAGACGTGGCCCCAGAATCCTTTACCTCCGAGCCCAAGGCAGCCCTAAACTGATCGAAGCAGGCATATCACATGAAACTTGCCTAGCCCTTCTCAATCTTTTCCCAAAAGGGGAAACTGAGGCCTGGAGGGATGAAGCAACTTGCTCAAAGCCCTCTTTACTCCCAGCCCCTCAGGGGGGTCTGGCTACTCCCCTCTCCAGAGGGGCTGCTCCCACAGCGCCATGGGCGGACCCTACTCCCTAGTCATCCTCTGAGTCTCCTAGGCCCTTCTCTTCACTGCCCTGCATGGCTGCGGACAAGACACCTACCTTTCTGCCACCAGCCCCCGGCACCCTGACCCCCGCCATCCTCCTCCACCTCACTCCTGGAGTCAGCGCCGCGAGCAGACAGGCCGGCCCGGTGCAGAGGCCCCAGCTGTCCGTAATTCCTGCCTGTGCGGCTCCGCAGGCGCAGCAATTAGACGGCTGCCTGCTTAATGACAGGGCGACGCTGCACTCACTCCGAGCTGCAGAAGCAATTACCTTGAAAATGGGGGTCACAGGCCCCACTCGTTGGCTTTAATTGAATTCCAATATCTGCCTGGAGCTGCCTTGACCTAACTTGTAGCTTCCTAAATACTACTTCAAGGAAGTGGAGCTAATCCAAGCGGCTTCTTCCCCACTTTCACTCTCTTTTAGAACTTAAAAAAAAATATATTTTCATAAGAGGATTTTAATTCCCAAGAGGGAGGCAGAGGGGGGGAGGGGACCCCAGGTGGCCGCTGCAGGGAGGGAAGGGCACGGCAGGTGGGGGATGAGGAGCTGGAGGAGAAACTTCGGGACAGAACTCAAATATGCTTGCCACCCAGCATTCCACCACGGTCAGCAGAGCCACTGCGACAGGAACTGTCACCGAGACACAGGACAGAGGACCAGGGCCTCTGCCTGGCTCTGCTCCTGAACAGTATGTGACCACCCATGAATCACGTTTCCTCTCTGCCAAGCAAGGGCCCTGGCTAGCTAGCAGGGGTTCTCCGCCAGGAGCCCCTCTGCCCTCCCAGCCAGACACTCAGCCATGTCCAGAGACTGCTGGGTATCACAGTGGGTGTGGGGCTGCTCAGGCACCCAGTGGGTAGAGGCCAAGACTGCTGCTGAGCACCCCGCAATGCACAGGAGAGACACCACAAAGCATCTGGCCCCAACACTGGGCTCGATGATCCTCAGGAGACTTCAAACTCGATAGCGTGACATCTGCCCCCTGGGGGTGCTGCCTCCCAAAACTCAATGGCTAACAACGATGACCGCTTACTCACGGTTCTTTCCGGACTCCCCTCTGCCCCTCCCACATAACGGATGCGGGTCTGCTCCTCCCCCAGTGTTACCAGGATCAGTCTAACGCTTCAGGCCCGCACCCAGCAGCACCGCGGAGCTGCCGTGGAAATCACTCCAGGAGCACAGGATCACGTAACCAGCCCGGGGCCCAGTGGCATGATGGAGGGTGGGGACCCACCAGCATCTCTCTGTCACTCTGACCTCAGCCTCCAGGCATTCCTGGCCCCGAGAGATGAGCTTGCCCACACTCTCCTTTTACAGATGCAGAAACGGAGGCCAGAGGAAGAGATGGGATGCCCAAGATCACAAGAGAAGAGCCATAACTAGAACACACGTCTCCAGGTTTCTGCCCCGAAATGAAAAGCCAAGAGTCACCATGTACCCAACCAAGCAGAAAACTCTGGAGCCTGTAGTTCTACCTTGAAACGATGACCTCCCATATGAAAAAAAGAGGAATGAAGACCAACCAGAATCCCAGACTGTTAGGGCCACTGTCTCCCAAGCCTGGCTACCCTTCAGAATGATACGGAAAACGTCAGAAAGACAGACTCCCAGCCCAACCCCCAGACCGATGGAAAAAATCCTGTGGCCAATCCTCTGGAATCTACATTGTTCCAGAGCCCCTTGGGGACCCTGACCCAGCTGCCTGTGGATGGGAAGCAGTGATCTCACCCACCCCCTGCATTTTATCATTTTAGGGATAAAAGCTGAACAGGTATACCCTGGGGGTAAGAAGCTTGTCCAAAGTCACAATGAAAAGCTGGTTTTCTCAGATGTTTACCTCAAACACCCTTAGCCTCACACAAAGTAGCAAGCAAGAGAAAGATGCTATTTGTATCCATTCAGAAACACACTCAAGATGCCAAGCCAGGTAGGGGCTGGGCAAAGATGCCCTTCCTCCTCTCACTGAGGGTCAGACCAGAAGTGAGCCTCACAAAGAGCTCTGGGGTATTTTCACCTATTCCCTCGGCCCAGGAGGGCCTATCTAGGCACCCCGGCTGGAATTCGCAGGGGCACGTGAGGAATGCTCGGCCAGGCGGCCGAGTACATAAGACAGCAAGGCCCAACCCCAATCCCACAGCATGTTTCACATCCACAGTACAGCAGAGACAGTTCTGATCCCAGGTGGCCAAAGAAAGGCAGACCTTTGCCAGGGAGGGGGCACAGGGCAGACAGGCCCTTGGGGAGGCATGAGGAGGAGGCTAGGGACCCCCATCCATCAGCCTGGCCTTGAAGGGGATCTCAGAGCCCATCCCCCTCAAGGGTGGGAACACCAAAAGTTGAGAAGTGATGAATTTAGAGGTAGAATTGAAATATGCCTTTAATTTGGGGACCGCGAGGCAAAAATCAGGGACCCAATGGGGAGAGAGCCCCAAATGGATCCAAGCCCATGAAATGCTTCAGGAGCTGGAGTCCTTGGGCCGCTATTCTTTGAGGCCAACTAAGATCAAGATCGGTCTCTGGTTATGATAAATGAGAGGAATAAAAGGGCTATACACACGGTGAGAGGCAGATTGGGGAGTCCACGTACCCCGATGATGGCATTCAGCTCCGTCATGGTGACCTGCTTGGCACGTTCCACAGCCTGCGCCACCTGCTGCTGGTGCTGGAGGAACAGGGCAGGGGTTAGCGGACGCCGAGCCCCAGCAGAAGGCAGAGGAGGGCCACCACACCGGCACAGGGACAGGTGGGACGGCAGACGGGGCACTTTTACTCTCTTCTTTAAACCCCTTTCAATAAGCATATGTTACTTTTGTAATCAAACCTTCCTACACATTGTAGGAATATAAATGAGTCAAAAGATGGGTATTAGTCAACTGCCTCCATCCAGCACACATACAAAGAACATGAGTGGGACATCAGATGACAGTATGCCGTGGATGGGAGCTGTCAGGGTGTCTGCAGCCTGTATCCAAAGAGTTCAGAAGAAAAGTGTGTGTATCTAAATACAGTCAAATCTATATCTATCTAAATAGAAAACAAAAACACACATCTAAATAGAAAGAAAATGGGCAAAATGAATATGAATGAAAACAATGAATGGACTCGAGGTGACGATGTGTCCGTTACCTTCATCCACTGCAACAACGCACCACTCGAGTGGGGGCAGCTATGGGAAATCTCTGTACTTTGCACTCAGTTCTGCTATGAACCTAAACTACTCTAAAAAAGGGTCTTTTTAAAAAACCATTTTTCGGTGCATTCATTCCCTTCAGCCTTGAGGTAGCACCAGCTTCGTATGCAGCCGTCTCCCCCACTGGGCTGCAAATGCTGAGGACGTGGCCACATCTTATTTTTACATGAATTCAACGATTTAATGGTCACTACTCTTGACTCAGACCCGGGCCTCCAGGAGTGAGCTGAGGTCCCAGCCACGGAGGGGCACAGAGGCCGGGGCCTGCCCAGCTGGAGGGAGCTCTGATGGACGAAAAGGGCCTCTCAGGCTGTTCACCTGTCTGCCCTGTACCAAGGAGCCTCCTTGAAGATGTTTCCACCAGCTCAGCCCCTGGCCGGGTGGGAGCCCCTTGGAAAGCGGCTTAGGGGGTGATGTGACCGATAAGGCATGCCCTTGGCAAGTATACTGTCCTGAAGGGTGCAGTCCCCTTTGGGTCCTGGCTTCCCTCACAGTGTCTGGGTCTTGGCACTGACTGGCCAAGTTCCCTTGCTCCTAGGTGGTTCCAGGTGTGGAAACTGGGGCACAGGGAAGCAGAGATTGCATTGGATACGGCACTGGAGGGCACAGGGGCACCCACTGCCCATTGCCACTCCAGTGGCAGGCCAGAACCCTCCTCCCTCGTCTCAGGCAGTGGTAGAGAACCAGTTCTACCAGAAGAATGAGCACAGTGTCCCTCTGCTGGGGCTCCAAGCTCTGAACCGGCGGGAGAAGGCCCTGCAAACCCCAAGCTGTCAACGTCAGTCAGTGGGAATGAACAGGGGCTGGGGCTCCGGTGAGACCTAGTCAGCCAGTGGGCTGCTTTGGAAAGAAAAGGACACAGCAAAAGAAGGCCTTACCTCTTGTGATAGGAAAGGCATGATCTGTGCTAAAATTGTGTTCAGTCTCTTCGCAATCTCTGTCTGCAAAAGAAAAGAGACCTCATGAAGCTTAGGCAAATAAATCAAGTCAGACTTGAAGTGCAAACTCCCCCAACCACAAACCCTCCCACCACACCATCTTCTCCACCTCAGGAGCCTCTCTGCTAAATCGCAGCATGAAGAAATCTTCCAACTCCCCCTCACCAGGCTGCTTACATTCTGGGGAGCTCCAATTTCCTATCAGAGGAGGTCTATCTGTTCGGGTCAGAATCTAGTTTGTCTCCTCTGGATGGAAGGCCAATTAAAAAAATAAGCAACACAGAACAGGAATGACCCACACACGCAGCACACCCCGGGAAACCTATCACAAGAGGCAAGCGCAGTACAGTGAGGAGGGGATGCCATGCCCAGTAGCCCAAATGGCAACAGCCAGACAGGTTAGGCTCTCGGACAGATCGGGAGGTGACGGGAAGTCCTTGGGGGGCATGTGCCAAAGGGTCCTCTGGGGCCACCCCACACAAGGTGATATGTGGCTTCCATGGTCTTCCTGCACCCCCACTTTTCATTGCTGCCTCTCCCATCCATGTGCCGCCCAGCCTAAAATCCCACCACTAACACTGCATGTTTTAGGGTAAAGCCTCGCCTTTCCTAGAAGCTGCTCAGGAGGTAACTCTTCAGATCCCTAAGTCTTCACTGCAGTTGATCATGGAAAGGCTGATCAATTCTCGGTCCACCCCCTAACACTCCAGATAAGATCACATTTGCCACCCATATGCTACGTGAACCCCAGATCAAGAGTGTTAAAGCGGTGCTAAATGGGTAACGGAGCCCAGACAGGAAGGCCTACAGCCAATACCGAAGTCACACAGCTGCTTCTCTTATCTCATTCTGAATCCTGAGGCCCCAGGACCGAGGTTCCAGCCATCTTCCAAAGACAAAGCCCTGACGACAGCCTTTAAAAATCTGGATCATCCGTCTGTCAAATGATTCCGGATGAGAAATCCTTGGGCACTTAAAACAAAAACAATGCTGCCTGCAGGCTTATCAACGGACCCTGGACCTCTGGAGAATTCCTGGAGCCAACACTCCCAACCCAGCCACTAAGGAGGACACCTGTGGTTTGTAAAGGGGCAGGCTTTTTGCAGCCCTGTGTCCTGGGGCCGCCGGCCACAGTGGCAGGCTCCACACGGAGTCTGTTCACCATAAGGGGCCTCCTGCGAGGGGACCAGAGACTGCTGCTCTCTCCTGGAACACTCCGATTCTCAGGACCGGGGTCAGGCTTGTCACTGTGGGTGTTTGTGGTGGAACAATGCTTTGTTGTGAGAGGGCTGTCCCTTGTATGCCAGAGCAACTGTCAGTAATGGTCCCTACTTCCAAACTTCTAGGGTGGTGGGGAGGATCCCAGAACCCATGGCCACACCTGCCCATTTGAGGTGCACTCTAGAAAGGACATTTACGTCAGGGTTCCTCCACCTCGGTGCTGCTGACGTTCGAGGCTGATACCTCTTTGTTGTGGGGGTGTTCTGCGCATTGTAGGGTTTTTAGCAGCACCCCTGGCCTCCACCCACTAGATACCTGCCATTCATATTGTAAGGAACCTGGGAAGATTACTAATTATTGTATAAATTATTAATCTAGGTAAGTGGGAAGAGTTGACTCCAAAATAGGGTTCTTTCTCATTTCTGTTCATTTTTTCCTCCCCCAAACCGACTGATAAGGGGAAGGGGAATGAAGTATGAAAGTCGAGGTTGTACACAGCAGGAGTTCTAGAAACAATCAGCCAGTCTGCATCTCAGTCCAAAGCTGCATAGAGCAACATGGTCACTCAACTGTCTCCTTTATGTGCCAAATGAGAATAGAAAGATACATTAAAAACAAACAGAAATAAACTAGGTTCACTGTTTAGGAAGCTCATTGGTCCATGGCCTCTTACCTCAAATAAGTAGCTTAGCAGTGCCTAGCACATAGTAGGTGCTCAATAAGTGTTTAGCCAGAAGAATCGCGCCGGCCTTCCTACATTTATTTTTCACAGTGATATGTCCCCCTGGCTGCTGCCCTGGGCCTGACCCCGTGTGGACAGCATCTGTGGGCGGGGCTGTGGTAAATGAAGTGTTGACACACTCCTGGGAGGTGGGGTGGGCAGCAGCCAAGCCCTCTGCCAACAGGGTGAGGCCAGACCAACCACAAGCGGGGGCCCCCTCCCCACAGCCACCAAGGCAGGCAGCAGGCTCTGAACCTTCCCGGTCACTCTGGCCCTTACTCAGCAACTACCACTCTCACACCCTCTGGGGTAGGTGGTTACGAAAGGTTCCCAGCTACTGTCCACTTCCTCTAGCAGACAAAGTGTCCAGGTCTTGGTAGTGATGGGAAAAAGGCACTGAGCTTCCCCTTCCCCGTGCGGTTAGCAAACACACAGCCATGGGCGTCCCCTGCATGGGATTTTCCCAGAGCCCAGTGGAGCCCGGCTGTGAGGAGAGGGGATCTGCCAGGATTTCACGGAGCCATTCCCAGCTGAAGGCCTGGCATCCAGGACACCAGGTGAGCACGCAGCGTCATCACAGCAAGTTCCCTCCAACTCACCCTTCCCACCTCGGAAAGCGGTTCCTGCCTCCACCTGCCTCCCGACACCCATCGACCAAGTCCAGTGGGCAGCTCCAGGTGAGGAGTGCTCTGAGGCCGGCCTGGCACCCAGGCTCTCTCTCGGGCTTGAATGCCACGCAGAGGCCTCACTGTGTGGCAGCTGGAACTTCGGTACACAAGACAGGACTGCACAGGGCTGGGGGCCGGCAGAGGAGGGGGTGGTCTTACACTTGGAGAGCTTTTACAATGAGCCACAGCTAGAAGTCCTTGGGTCTGGGTTTTCTTTGTGCTGGGAGGAGTTGGGGTTGAAGGGTACGCCAACCGCACCCCTCCTGGCTGGAACTGTGCCATTGTCTGCTGTGGGCAGCTTTCCCCTCCCGGTCTCCCTCAAAAGTAGAAGCAGGGACAGCCTTGCCCACCTCTGCACAGGCCACCCAACCGAGCGCGGCTCAGGGGCCTCGGCTGAGTCACAGAACGAACAGGAAAACTGTTCACTAAATGATGTTTTTTTTCATGATGATTTGTTCTGAGGGTGGTGATACCAAGAGAAACTCCTAGAAACAGAAAGTTGGCTGGACAGAAGCACTCTTAACAACAATGATGATAATAATGGCTAACATCCGCAGCCCCAGCTATTTCAAGCATTGTACGTGTGTGAGCTCACACTTACCCTGCCGGGAAGTCGCTTGTTAGAAATCTCCATTTTCAGATGGGGAAACTGACACTCAGCAATTAGGCAACTTCACTAAATGACTTCCTACCAAGAAGCCAAATTTCCACATTTTGATAGAACGCAGAGAAGTCTTTTTGAAAGAAAAACGATCGTCAGAGTTAATAATCGACAGCATTTCTGATGAAAGCAGCTGTTGAAACAGCATTTTATCCAACTCAAACACCAGTTCCAAGAAGGGAAGAAAACAAAATCAAGATGTGTGACTTCAACAATCGGGACAGTCACCAACCACAAACTGGAAGGAGATCGTGGGCTGGAAAACGCCTCTGGCAGCTCAGGGCGCTGTTATCAGGGAGGCCGCCCGCCCTCCATCCTCCCCTCATCTCGGCCGCCAAACCACGACCTGTGAGCCCAGCGCCTGGGACCTGAGGCTGACAGGAGGGGTGCCTGCGGCAGGAAGACTGCTTCCTTTGGAAAAAGGTGTTTGGGGAGCCTCGTGCTGCCTTTGAAAGTTCCTTTTCAAGTGTGGTTCAAAGAAGGCGGCTCTGCTGGTAGAAAAACAATGTTGCTGGGGAGGAACTCATCTACTAGACACGGGCGCTTCAGAGACACACGCGTGGAGACCCTGCGACGCGGAATCCGCGCTCCCACACGGGCGCTCGCAGCAACATCTGCCCTGTGTCTCTGTCGAGATTGTTAGGCAAATAAATGAGGGAAACAAGATAGTGGGGGGCAAGTGTAATTTCCCAAAGAGCAATCTGCTCGCTGTGCCTTAGGAGCTCCCACTTGCCCCATCATCTCCATTAAAGCAGGACCTCCAAACATCTTGCTGTAAAGCGAGGGTGCTTGAGCCTTCTGCAAGTGGATCTCTCTCCCGGAGCGCCGGCATCCACTCTGCTGCCTCCGACCCCGGGCCTCTGACCCAGGACACCACCTCAAGGAAGGTGGAATCTGCTTGGGCACTCCGGCCCCAGCAACCTGTCACCCCTGACCTCAGCACCCAGCCAGGCTTTGGCCTTTTTTTAATTTGAGCCGACTGCTCCAAGCACAGCTGCCAGCCACTTCCACAGCTGGTCTCTCCACTATTAAGCGTTAAACTGCCAGGCAGTGTAGCAGTCGGCTCTGGAGAACGCACACCCCTTCTTACCCTCAGCCAGACAGACAAGGACAGGGAGAAATCGCCGTTTTAAAAAGCGTGTTCTGACCCAAAGCCACACAGAAATGATACGGCTTCTGCTCCCAGCTCTGCCTCCATCTAGCTGCATGGCTTTGGGCAAATCACTTCCCTCCACTGGGCTTCAAAGGAATTGGGTAACTCATAAAATCCAGGGGCCACCATTTAGAGTTGAGAATACTGAACATTCTTGAAGTGCTCCGTGACGTAGCACTCCCTCCATAAAGCTCAGTAAGATGGTGCATGGCATGAATTTAAAGGACGAGCGAAGAGGCAGCCACCTTGAGGCGTTGGTGGTTGCTGGGTGGTGGGCTAGGGTGGGGTTCAGTCCCAAGAACCAGTCTTCATAGCAAGAACCATTCAAAGGTGACCATCAAACATGTACACAAGTGTCACAGAGCACTGCTGTCCTAGAACTGTACAGGCCAAGCAACTACTGGCCGGGTTCTCTGATGGCTGTGAGCTGAAGACAGCCAGGCAAGGCCCCTCCCTTCCAGATGTATCCTTCAGTGGGAAGTGAATTTCCATGTCTGTGAGACAGCCAAGGGCTGCCACAGGGCTCCTGGTTCACTTCTACAACACGGATCCTTTCCTGGGACAATCAGGGCGGTGTGC